AACAACTTTTTTTACATTTTCCTACCAAACTCACTTTCCAACCATTTTTCTAGTAATTACATTTCTCTAGTATTCAAAAAATTTCTCCTCAACCAAACGTCTCAGTTAGTATTTAGTATGCAGTGGAATCTTGGTTTTACTTTTGGGGGTTGCCCTGTACATATAGTTGATGAATTAAAGTCCTTATAGGAGGTGTTGGAGTTTGGTGGTAAACTTTAATAGGAGGTTTATCCCCTTAGATTATGTTTATGGATCTTATATTCTAGATGCCCTAGTGACTAAAGAGTTTTACCGATTTACCTTGGAATGTGGGTTCAGGGTAATAGTTATGTGCACGCGGATTTGTCTCTCGTGGCCATACCAGGCTTGGGCTCCAGTCATAATACTAAATATTGTCTCTAGCTTGGTGCTTGTCTAACGAAGTGTCAAGTGCCTAGCTTTAACTAGTAGTTTTGGTTGGCATTTTAAAGCGCTTTAGATTGGGCTTATCCCGTGTTTGTAGGAGATGAAGCTAATGCTTAGTCATTTTCTAGACGCCCTAATGACTAGGAGTTTTACCGACAGCTCAGAATGTGGGTCTGGGGTAACAGTCATTGCAAAGTAATTTTGGACTCCCGTTACCATACTGGGCCTTACAGTACTAAAAATGAATTTAACCAATTAAAATCATAAGCAGAAAATGTGTTTGAATTCTAATTATATCAATAACTCAGGGGTCATATATATTATAAAGGATATTCTTGTAAATCTCTCAATCCCAACATGAATGAATGGTCCTTACTTGAATTGGGAAAGTGGATTAATCAAAGTGTCCACAAACTAAGCCAAGTACCACTTAATTGCAACAACAACAAAAAACAAATTTGTTATATATGTTGATAAAGTTCTCGGTACAATGTTGCCTAATTTCTGGATATGATTTTTATACCTTAAACAGAGTGTAGATTTCTCCAATGTTATTACCTTACCAATTGATTTTAACTTAAATTGGGAACTGATAGTTATGAAGATGTTTATTTGAATTAAAAGAATAACAAATGAATGGAAAAATATAACTAAAAAAGGCAATCATGATTAGAATTACTATCAGAGATTTAAGTCATTTATTGTTCCAAATAATTAAGTCAATAAGCAATGTGTTCGAAACAGGTGTAAGATAACCCTATAAAATAGTGCTATCATATAGTTTTTTCTTTTAGGTAAAATCTTAGTATAGTTTTATTATCTTATGCATTTTGTGTTTATTTTAGTCCTTATAAGATAAAAAAAATTATGTTATTAAATAAATGATATTAGATATAAGTAATAAATAAATTGATTATAAATTAAGCAAATTAAAGAACTAATTAATAAACACGACGTGAAATAAGGAACAAAAATTTAATTGGGTCATAATAAAATGACACAAAAAGATAGTATGCAACTATTAGAGGTATAAATGGATTGGACTAGGCTAGATTTTGACTTAAATAAGTCAGATTTGTGTAAAATATTTTAAGTTTGATTTTTTTTTTTTTTTTGGTAAACTAAGTTTGATCTTACTTATTAACCTTGTGTACCCTAAATTATAGGTCTTACTTGACCTATATTTAAAAACTAAAAGACCCAATGTAAACCTATTAACTTGTTTAAACTTTTTAGGCCTACAATACAAGGTTTGAAAAAAAAATAACTAAAATAATATTATTCTATTTAAATAATAAATTTAAAAATAAATAAAATGATATAATATAGGCCGACTAGTAGATTTATAGGTTGCTAACACAGCTCACAACTTTCATCGTACTGTGCTCTTCAAAGAGCAACTATTCTTTGTAACATAAAGCTATGGCTTGCTTTTTAAACGGATTTTTTTAAAGCTTGAGTCTATTTTATTTTACTAGATATATTGAGTTAAAACTGACTTGACGCAGATCGAGTCATAAGTCCTTTATAAACCATTTGACTTATTTACACCCTTAGTACTTGTATATACTCCTATATTATTTTCCATTTCACTTCAATTATGAAGAATAATTTCAACTTTTTTGCCTTTTTGGGTTTGTTTTTATGATTATCTTTAGAAATCTATTTATTTTTTTTGGATACAAGTGGGAATTGATTGCACAACCTAATACAATCTACCCAAACCCCTCACCACTAGACCAATCCTAGTTGTTTAATCTACACATTCTTAACCGTTTTAATTAAATGATTTCATATAAATCACCATTTTTATAAGGAAAATATTCTTTCAAATTGAGCTTATTTTTAAAAGTAGAAAATAAAAATTAATACACTTTTAAATTATTTCACAAATTAATATTACAATGCATTATAAATTAAATTAACCATAAATACATCCTTATCTATTTATTTTAGAGACAACTTCACTTTAAAACATCATTTTCCTTTCATTTAATCCGATATGTAGAGCAACACGGTAACCAAAATATGGCAACAGTATTCATTGTTAACTTTCAAGCATTTCGTTTATTTTTTATTTTTGAGTAAATATTCTTTTTGGTCCTCAGCAAATTTGTCCACTTTAATTAGTCCCTAGGAAATAAAAGGGCTATTCGTGATCCCTAAAAAATTCAAAATGGATCCATTTAGTAGAAATCGTGATCCCTCACAAAATAAAAAAAACCACATTAGTCCCTCAAAACTCAAAAAGATTAAAATGGATCCATTTTGAATTTCTTAAGGATCATAAATAGCTTTTTTATTTGCTAGGGACTAAAGGTGAGCATCGTGAAAATTAACGAAGACCGAAAATGATATTTAGTCTAATTTATTTTTTCTTGTCAGCGAGGAACCTAATTAATTCCTACACGGAACAAATTTTCAACTATCGTCGTCTGGTGCATGTACGTATTGGTGAAGTTTATCGATATACTACTAGTTATGACTTATGAATAATTTCAATTCCAGAGAGTTGTTGGAAATCTTGCCAGTGTAAACCGAAAGATCATACTCTGAAGGACAAGTTCAATGGTTTCAATTTTGGCTGTGATCAGGATAACTTCGTCGCTTACAATATTATATATCTTTCTAGACAAAAGCAATGCATCACTTAATTAACTATGAAAGTTATAGATGAACATTATTTTTGGTGAACGAGTACATCAAGGACTACCCCTATAAGGGCATATGGTGCGTTACACTAAGCAATTAGAGACGCATTTTCTATGTAAAAAAGGATAGAACCTCAAGTCAAACAACAAAAGGCAGCGTCGTCCTCATCTTTCTATCCTTCATTCACGAATTTGCAATCAGCTAGCTACTCACATAATTAACACTAAAAAAAAAAAAAAAAACTTTTGCTATGGCGTTACTTTTATGAAAGCAAGGCAAACAAATTTCCCGCATACACTTGGCGTTGATTTGCTTAAGAAGGCAAAGAATAAGAAACAATGGGCTCAAGCTCACCTATTTCGTATTATTGTACAAAGGTTCTTTTTTATTTTCTTTTTGCTTTGATCGTACAACTATAACGATTAAAATTTTATGTTTCTATTATATATTTACTTCCTACTTTACCATTAACTTGTAACGGGAATTTATAAGTACTACGCATTTCTTATTCGCTTAGTCCACACGTCAGTATCACTATTAAAGTTAGCCAGCTATAAATATAAAGTTGTATCAATTAATGTAGCAAAAATTACTCCAAAAAGGCGCGTAGTGATTATTATTATTATTATTTTGGTGGGCAGTGATTATTATTTTTTTAGTTTGGCGCGTAGTGGTTGTTAATTTGTTATGAAGCAGATAATCATGTATAAAATGTGTTACATAAAAAACACACAAAATTCATACCTGTTTCTATTTTAGCACTACTAAATTTAGGGCAATTCGACTACTTTGTTGAAGGAGAGTCGTTTTTCGTTCTGCAAATATGTAAAAAGTCGTGCCGCTTTTTTTTTTTTTTTAATCAAGTGTAGAGGTTTTTTTTTTTTTTTTTTTCATCGATATGACAGAATGATTCTTCTGCAATAGAAGAGTCGAATTGTCCTTAAATTTATTTATATTCTTTTCTCAATATATAATTTCCACGTACGATCAAATGTTTTTCTCGTCAAATTATAAATAAATTTAGAGAAATGTATCTATTATGTAACATGATAAAAGTTTATTTTCCTACCCAAACAAACAGATGTGGAATTCATAATTTTGTATTTTCTCAACTCATTTTTTTTTTTTTTTTTTTTTATGTTTGTGTATGATCAAATTGTGTTTTTCATCTAACGTATAACCCATAAATTTACCTTGGGTATGTCACTTGAAGGAAAAACATAACCGCATCGCTCAAATACTAAACAAATTTATTTAAACAGTGTGAAAATATGAAATTAAAATATTCACCGCCAGAAGGAACATTTTCCGTTACACTATTCACATTACCTTATTTACACAACGATTCTTCACAAGTACCAATATCAATTATTCTGTTTAATGTTTATCATGATTTTGGAGGCACACAATCGACATGCATTAAACCCTCAATACCGTCATCCTTATCCCCACTACTTCAATGCTTGAAAAGGATAACAATATAAAAGTTATTTTAGACTAAACAACAATGAAAACGATCTACTAAAAAGAAAATATATATCATTCGAAAATATTGCTACCACATCTATACTTTGCATATTTAATTAAAAAAAGAAAGACTTTTTTAAAAAAAGAGAGAAGAGTGTATTAGAATGAATATTTAAGTTGTTTTATTGTTAGAAAAGGAAATAATAGATAAATATCATTACCCTAATAAAAATACATTAGTTGTGAATCCTAGGAAAGAATAAAACAGAACCAAATACAGGGCAAGATCAATCTGAAACTTGAACCTTTGTCCTAATGAAATTCTTGCTTGGCGTGGAAGTTGAAAACAATTGAACCATTATTCTAGAGACATGGGAAAAATGCCAGTTTGAGACAACACTTTGAGCATTTCCAGAGGCCATTTTCACACCAGAAACTCCCAATGTAAACAGAAAAACCCAAAAAAGAGAACAACAAATAAAAAATGAAAGGAACTAAACTCAAAGCAAATTATTTTGGAAAGTGCCAAGGGAAATAGTGCGGCTACTGCACTTCACTGTTTCTTCTCGCCGCATCAGTCACATAATACAATTCTCTTCCCCTTGCTAGCATATAGCTTTACACGTACCTTCTCCTTAACACGACACTTCAATTCAATGGCAGCTCTCCATGTCTTGCAATCAAATCAGAGAAAAGCATAGAAAGGGTCAATTTCTTTTCTTAAATCACTCAGTCTTACCTTTTTAATTTTTTTCTCTATTCGCTTTTTATTCCAGATATTTGCCAAAACTAGCCCTCCTGTAAGTGAAAATTTCCATTTACAAATCTTATCTCAATGGATGAAAACCAGAAGAAAAGACCAAAATTGTGAAACAGGAAACCTTCCATTCCACCTCAACGAATTTACATTCCCGAACTAATGTACACATGAAAAAAAAACAAAAAAAATAAATAGGAGAATAATCTAAATCTGTAAATCAATCCCCACACGACCAATCCTTGAACATGCAAAGGGGATAGCATTTAGAGACACCTAAATCAAATGTCCAAAAACGACCAGCGTCACGAGCTTTGATTTTTCATGAAACCAACCCAGCTAGCTAGAAAACAAAAATCCGAAACATGTGCCGACGCAGATGCTTAACAGTTCTGATCTGCTGAGGTGTCAGGGTTTTCCCTGTTCTCGCTCCGCACCTGATCGTTGCCGCCGCTTCCCTGTTTCATGGTCTCAGCCATTTCCACCGATTTTTCGGTCTGGTCGCAGGTACAAGTGCTGGTGTTTTCGCCGAAGGAAGAGGACCTGCTAGTGCTGGCGCTAGTGCCTGACGACATGCTGGGTGTTGCTAAGAATGTTGGCTTCTCTTGTCCAGCCATAATCACCAAGATCTTCTCCTCGTACTGTCTCTGTGGTTTCTGGTTTTGGTCGGTTTTGCCTTCGCCAGCCTCGAGGTCTCGCTCTGATTCGCCGTTTCCTTCGAGGTACCCAGAAAGCTTCCAGTAGGAGCACGCAAGGATCAAGAGAGCAAAAGCTATGAGACCCAACATGGCTGCTAACCCACCGAACAAGTACGGAACCGGGGAATGCCATGGCGAGTGTGGTGGTTGTGAAGAGAAAGGGGCCCTTTCGTTCACGTCCATGGGTTCTCTGTATGCTGCCATTTTGTTTTGTTTTCCTCTTATGAATCAGAAAGAACAAGAGAGAGAGAAGGAAGAAAATTACTATTTAGGGGATTCAGATTGGGTTGAGAAGTGGGTGCTGGGGTGGAAAGTATTTATAGAAGTTAAGAAATGGTTTTTGATTATTTCGGATTATGGGGAGAGAGGTGATTCGTGATGTCATTTTTCATGAGTTGGAGAAGTGGGGTATGTTTCTGAGTTTTGTGATTTTTATTTTTATTATTTTTTTGTTTATCCTTCTTCGAGGATAGGATCATCACAACTCACAAGGAATGCGCACTCAGGAGCGTACTGGTCACGTCAAAATCATATCAGAGGGGAAGAGGAGAATGTGATCCTCTTGCATGTTTGGCAAGAAACAAACAGAAAAATGAAAATACCGGTGGATGCATTGTTAAATTCCTTCTGTCATTTTAAAAATGTATCTGTTGATTCCGGTGTCCTTTACTGTGTATAATTTATAGATAACCCTATATCTAGTGTAATAATTTTTCCTTTCCCATTCAAATAATATTATTACAATGGTTTAAATAATGTACATGCATGCATGATTCCTGAGATTTGATTATTGGAATCTATAAAGATTATGTATTTTTTTTAAAATAAATATAAAGCAAAAATGCCTCCATGGCTTTACATGATGAAAAAAGGGATTCCCCTACTAGAATGCTTGGGATTGGGGTGATTTATCTATACATTCCATGATACTTATTTAACCATTCAGATATGATGTATATGTGGGATTTTAAAAAAAAATTATATTTAAATACAACGTAGGACCATGTGACATCATAATCTTTAGATTAGGGGGGCCAATCTGGTATGATTACTGTGTAGACCACCTGATGAGCGTGAGAAAAATCACATGTTCTCTACCCTACTGAGTACAATACAAAGAGATTCCGTTTCAGCCGTTTGATTGAAGAAGATTCATTGTAACTTAGGCACGAAACGGCGGCGCATGTATGCCGTGACGCGAGCGTCCATGGTACACTCGTTTCTCACGAAATCTTTCCCTGGCAGCCCCATCTTTTGTTTTTGTAGCGTAGTGAGAATGTTTATATCATTAATAAATGAAGTGGGTGGAGAGAAGGTGGAAACCGTTTCATTTTTCCAAAAAGCAGCTGATTTAAAACAAAATGCTTGCATATTGCAATCAATGGGCTTCTCATGTCATTACGTGATGGACTTATTTCCGTATTCCATCTTTTTTTTAAAAAAAATTATTAGAAAAAGTAATAAAACTAAATAATAAAGTTAATAACTTTACTTGTTTATAAGTTTTATTGTTCAGTCTAAATTTAAAAAATAATACGGTATTTTCTTTAGCAACTCCTTATTTAGTGCAATTGAAATTTGGTTCATTTAGGGCAAGTATCATTTCTGCCACATGTTTTTTCAATGGTATTAGTATTTGATAGGTTACCAAGTACTTATGTAGGTTAGAATTTAATTTTGATACAGAATAAAAAAAAATCACACTTGTATATAATGATATAATGTCACATCACTTAATACTAATTCAACAAGTACTCTGATGAGGTTTTCTGTAATACCATTCTAAGTAGTGTTTTTATACGGGATATGATCCGTTTACAATTTTTTTTGTAAATTACACTAAGTACGACCAGTCGTACACTGCATGATTAAAGTATGACCGGTCGTATTTAGTGTAATTTGTAAGAGTTTATAAACAAAAAAAGTTTGTAAATATAACCTGCCCCTTTTTATACATATACTTTTATAAATTTGGTATTTCATCAAACTTGGCTCTTAACATAATTATTTATCTCTTATGTTTACCTGTCATAATATCACACTTAATACCTTATGAAATACATGTTCTCTGTTGTGAGTAACTTTCAAATTGAGTTAACGAGATCCAAATTTTTCTAGATTCAAGGCTTGTGCCATTTCAAATATGGAAAAAATATTTATCCTTTTAAATGACACAATTTATATCATTTCATTCTCGCAAAGAGGTGAGACTCATATCTTTATTTTTTTTTTGTCAACTCTCTCTTCTCTTTTATCTATCTCTTTCTCTTTCTTAAAATGACACAATTTTACATTCTTTAAAATGACACACACACTTTTTCCTTAAAATATATATAAACCATTCTTTTCACATTGTTCTTCAATACAACTGAATCTAAACTAAGTTTTTCTCCTCGCCTTGTGGTTTTCCACTTACTAATCGTATAAGGATTTATTATCTAAATTTTATATATAGAGATATATTTCACTTGGCATATCTGGTTCTTTACTCTTTACTTTACTTGGCTTTGCAAAACTCCTTTCTGCGACATCCCTTTACTACTGTGCAAATTGCAATTAATTAAATCAATCACACAAATACGCAAGTGCACGCGTGTCACAAGTAATAAAGGGATGTGTGAGTCCAAGTATCGTTCCCACAGAGATGATTTATAAAGCAATGATTATTTAAGTAAAGGAACTATAAAAGGATTGATTTTGATGGTGGGGTTTGTAAAATAAAAGATAATTAAACTAAGAAAACAGTAAACTAATTCTAAGGTATTAAAGTGATGGATGAGATATAGGTCAGGTTCAATTTTCTTGATACAGCAATACTGAAACGATGCTTTAATAATGCTATATCAATGTTTCACAAGTAATCGAACACTAAGGTATGCTGGGGTTTTTGGCCAACCTAATTTATATACCCAATAATTAATTACTGAATTGTTAAAGTTCAAGTTCAAAGGCTATGTGGTGTGAATGATCTCTCTAACATACCCACAAAATAATCAAGTTAACTTTCTTAACCTAATTAATCCACACAATTCAATGAGGGTCTGGATTCAGAAACCTCTCGACCCCAACCTCCTCAATATCACATATGTATCTCTCGACATGCATACATGAATAAGAATAAGCAAACTCGTTCAAAAACTTAAACATTAATAAAAATAAAGTTTAGGCATACATCTCAATGTTACAACATAGGTACTTTATCACCTAACCTATAGAGTAAATTAGCTCATAATAGAATTAAATAAAACATAGAAGAGGAAGAAAGAACTCATTGTAAAACAGAAAAGAAGATGAAAACGAATGCTGTTGTAAAATTCTGTCACTATCTTGCTTCAGCAATGCTCCAGCATCTATTCCTTCTCCAAGAATCTTACTTTCTCTCTCTAAAATGTGGGTAGGGTATTACATTCTTCCCAGCCTTTCTGACCTTCTTGACTGACTCTCTAACCTCTTGAATATGTGGGGGACTCTTTTTTAAATAGAAAAAGTGGTTGGATAATTAGGTCTTAGGTTTGGGAGTGAGAATCCATGATTCGTGTTGCTGCAGCCTTATCTTATCCCTATTTTCTTGGGCTGTTGGTACTTGATTGGATAAGATCTTGATCTTCTTGATTTTCTTGTGTCACTATTGTTGTTGACTAGATAAGAGTTTGTTGCCCTTGATCTTTGGGATTTTGGGATAAGAATTAATCTTCAAGATCGTCCTTGATCCTTGCTTGCTGGTGCTTTATCCAATTGTTAGGGAATAACTCACTTTTGAATTTTGAAAATTCAGTTGTTCCCTTGTCCACGTTGTCATGCTGTACAGATTGCTATATCATTGTTTCGTCAGTTTCTCTGCTATAGCATTCAAACGTCAATTTTTTCTGCAAAGACAAACACTCAACAAATCGTCTTTTCTTACATAAAATCAAGGATTATTGTCTCATTTTCCATACTTAGTCATCTCAAAGCATTTAATCATGAATATCCAACAATTAGCTCAATTATCATGCAAACGATACAACTTATATGGAATTTATGCATCAAATTCATCATAAAAATACAAAATTAACTCTCACTTGGGAGAGTTAACAGTTACAAGGACAAAGTTGGTTCTGAACTCGGTCCAGGATATGCCTGAAGGAACTTTTCGTAACCCTTTTCGCAGCCTGCTTGAAAGACTTTGTCCCTAATCTTAAATTTTGAAAGGAAGCTCTTGCCAAGATCGACTTCAACACATATGCGTGCGAATCGAGCTCTTTTGTGATTTCATCCTCTCCAGTATCACTTCTTCGAAGGGAATTTCTATCGACCTTAAGAATCTTGCCAAAGATGGACTTAATTTTTCGGAGGTGATGAGCCATATAGAATTCTACAGGTAAACCAATAATCCTAATCCACTCTGCTAGTTTTTTTGAATTCTTCATCATAAGGGTCAAAGAATGGTCTCCATCTTTAGACCACCACGTAGTGGTCAGCAATGATCCATGGCCCCTCTTCCAAAACATGTCGTTAATCACTGTCATCTTGGAACCGCAACAAGAGATACTCATTGTCTAGGTTGATGAGCTCATATGTGCTAACCAAATTCCACATTCTTTGCAATCTTTCCATAAGGAATCTTGTGCGAATCGACTTCCACAACAACTTAATAATTATGGCTTTGTGCCATTGCCAACAATCCTCCTTATGCTGACTTTTGGATAATTGGTATAACGGGCGCAGAGGGTCTTCCAAGGGGTCCTGAGATACTTCCTCAAGCATACATTCTTCTTCCTCTTGTCTCCTAAGTCTGGTCATCCAGTCTTCCTCTTAACTATCGGATTTGCCTCCTTCTCCATTCGTCGCAGTAATTGTCTTTATATGACACCACTTTGCTATGAGCTCCGCTATTGGACTTAGGTTCTTTCTCTTTTGGTTGCAGAGGGTATTTTGAACATGAATCATCCTCTCCCTCTCCTTTCTCGTGCATTTCCTCATCTATCTTGAAATCCTTCACAACATCCCCTTTGGGTTTCTTAATACTTCGTTGGGCTAGGTCTTCTTCCGCCAGAGCCTTCTCCCTCACCCATTTCATTCTGTCTCCCTCACTCCCAACGACTCGTCTTCCTCAGTCTCCATTTTCTGAACGTATGCTTTGGACATCTGTGTGCGCTTGAGTCGATGTATGTTAATATTAAGTCTGACAGTATCTAAGAACTCATTTTTACTTCCATATATAAATAACCTTTGTCATAAATAAAATGTTTTCTTCTTCATCTTTTGTAGAGGAGTATTAAGATACAAAATTTT